ATAGAATTAAATACAAAACACTTGTAAATATGATGGTTTAAATTTATAATTATGAAATTATAGATTTTAATCTTTAAATATTTAAACAATTTTTCTTCTCTTTTTTTTTTTCTCTTTTTTATGGTAGCTCTTCTCTTTCTCAATGTAGTATGTCTTAGATTTGAACTTAACATTTAAAATATCCAATTTTAACAGTAAACTCGTTGGCCCTGTGGATTAATTCATTTCAGCTATATCTCCATTTTCAAACCTAGAGGAAAAGGCTATTTTTGGAAACCCCAAAGAAGCACGGCTATATATGCCTTTTGGCACTTTGGAGCATTCAACACTCACCACACAAAATTAAGAGAACGTAAAAGCAAAAAATAAATAAAAGTTCTGAGTGGGAGGGAGCTAGTTGCCCCTCAACCGGCTTAAACAACGATTAGGGGATAATCATAAATGCCAAACTAATGATAAGGTCGGTTGACCCAATAAATTGGAGATATATGGTACCCGCCACCCGCCCACGTCGGCAGCAGCAGATGTCACCGTCTCCACGCTACCGGTGATCTCGCTGGGGAACTTACGCATATTCACACGTCTATCTTTTTCTAGTTAAATATTTGTGATTATACGGACGTACTAATAATAGTAGTACTGTTAATTATAAATTATAATATAAGCAACATATAATATATACGTAAAACACATGCAAATAAATTATAACATAGAAGTAGGAAATATTTATTTTTAATTAATATATTTTTTTGAACAATTAAGTATTTGTTTCCTATTAATATATTTTTCTTTTCTGTTATTGATTGTATAATAAAAAATAATTATTTTTTATTTTTTATTTCACTTCACCTATATGTCATATGATTCGAATTTAAAATTTTTTACTTTTAATAAAAAAAATCTCTTAGTTTTAACCAAAAAAAAAAACCCACCTAACTATTTAGATTAGGTCGTTGACTGTTTCTTATTAAATTTTTTTATAAGGATAATGATTAATAAATTAATATTATTAGATATTAGTAACTGAAGATTCGATTCTTAAATCAGATGAATAACTTATTTACCCCGATAAAGCGTGCTGCTATCGTGCTGCTTGGTGAAGTTACTTTCCTATTAATATTGAACAATGACGTAGAGTAA